CTGGCCATTTTTTGGTTGCAGCCATCATTGCTGTTTGGCAGCCCGGGCTGGGGATTCGAACCTGCCACCTTAGGTGTATGTGGCTGGTGCCCTAGCCACTTGAGCCACAGGCGCCGAGCCTCTCTCAAGTCTTCATCACTACCCAACATCCCCTCCCATCTTCCTCATTTTCCTCCATTACTGAATCACCACATAAAACACTAAGAGTTCCTTGTCTATTAACTATCCCCCTCTACCGATGTCAGCTTCTCAATGGCAAGGAGTGTTTTAACTTTGTTTTGCTCAGTGCAGTGTCCCCATCATCTACAAGGATGTCGGGCACCATAAACATTTATTAAATCAATTTAATGAATAAACAAAGGAATCAGAAGGAGCCACACATTTCTAGAGCCTGGCTCAGGCTCCACCTCCTCTGTGGCCTCCCCCAGCCGCTCTGAGGCTCACATCATTGCTCTCAGGTACTCATTTATTTTTTTTAACAAGCTTGTCCTGAGGACCTGCGGCTCACCAGAACCCTGCTAAGGCCCTGGGTTTACAAAGGACTGAGCAAAGTTCTTAACCCCCAATAGCTTACAATGTAATTTAGCACACAAAAAGCACCCAGTTTGGGTTTCCGGTTGCTTCCTGAAGATAGATTTCTCTCCCCCAAGAAGCAAGGACATAATTGGAGAAGGGAAAAAGCTCAGCGCTTCCTTTGTTCCCCGCATGGGATATGTACTCTTCGAGAACTGGGTGGGTTTCCCCGGAGGAGGGTCCTCAGTGGGGGAAGGAGGGGAAGGCGGGGACTTGCAGAGCACAGGCTGAGACAGTACTTAAGGGGCACAGCGCATGTGGTGTCAGCAACGGACACCTGAAAGCTCTGACTTCACCACTACACAATCTATCCATGTAACAAGATGATACCTGCACCCCACAGATTTATACAGATGAAAAAGAGAACACAGGGGCTGAGGGGAGTGGGAGCATTTCCCACTGGAAATATAAAAGGAGGCTCAGAGAGCTGTGGAGAGGGATCACCAGGCCTGGGGTGAAGAAGCACAGATGCACCCTGAACCCATGGATCATGGGCACAACACACTCCCCCGGTTGGGTGTTTCCACAACAGTGAAGGACAATTAGTGGCTGAAATAACCTCTAAGAATCACTCCGTGCAAACATCTGTGACCCTTTTCAGCCAACACAGCATCCTCATCCTTTACATCCTATGGACCCTGTCCTGAAACCCATAGAAAATGATTCATGGTGTTGGACATGGTCTTTCCACAAAGGACAGTCCCTTAAACCTGAACCTTGACTTCTTAGGCAAAAGAGTTTGGAGGATAAAGGAGCATAAAAGAGGTTTCTCTGTTCTACTCTTTCCAACTAAACTTAGAGCCCTCTCCCCTCCCCAGAGACCTCCCCATCCTGGAACCTGAACAGAGGCTACCCTGGCTCTTCCTTTGCTCACGTGAATCCCCTGATTGGCTGTGAGGTTCAAAGTCCAGTAGGCCCCTGCAGTCACCAGGAGGCCTTGGCTTGGGGCCTCTAGCCTCCCACAGGACATCTCCCTCATCTTGCTGGTTCCTACCACTAAAAGAGATGGACTGAAACAGCCAAAAGAAGACAAGAGCTGCAGATACACATGGAGCAGTCGGCTGTCATCTTGCCACAGTCAACAGACAGGCAGAGGTCAAGGCCTCCTGCCCCAACCCCTGCCATTGCCCAACTGCACACAAAGAAAACCAAACGGCAAGAACCTGATGGAACCACAAACAGCTCAGATCAATTTGTTCCAAAGGTTCATTGGGAAACCTCCCTGCCCTCTTTCCTCTTTGTCTGCCTGGCCATGTGGCTCTCTGCTGACCTGCAGCCTACCCCAACAGGAGAGAACAGCAGCCCCTTAATTATAAGGGCCTGGAATGCTTGACCACATCCCATCAGCAGTCACAGCAAAACAACATGAGCAGAATTATAGTCTCCTCACTGATCACTTCTAGGTATTTCAAAACACAATCCTTCTTTCAAACGTGTTATACCATCCCCAGACAGAGATATATTGCTAGTGATGATAATTAAGTGATAGATGACAGGAAGCTAAAAATATTCTTTAAGCCAAAGAATAAGTTAATGTCATTTTGACAGCTCTGCTTAGCATTCTTAAAAACAAACAGCACTTGTGTTTGTGGGTTCTGTAAAGATGTCTAAATCAACAGCCTCAGAAATCCTTATATATTCTGTAATTAAGAAATCAGAAAATCAAAATCAAATAATTAAGCCACTAATATTTCCTGAGCGTCTGCCGTCCACAAGGCATTGTGCTCCTGTGATACACAGGAGCAAAAAGCTCAGTCCTAGACTCAGAGACGGTGAGTTGGCCACTCAAGAGGGTGTAAAGACAGAAAAGTTTTACAACCTACACAATAGGAGAGATTGAAAATTCAGCCCGAGGTGAGGGACTCCCACTGAAATGAATCCCTGAAGCAGGTACCCTGCTGGATGAGGTATATTATTCTGAACATGGCCTTTCCAAGTTTAAAAGCTGATGATTTGGCACGGAGCATGGACAGATAAAGGACATATATAATGATCTGATCAAATGTCAAGCATCTTGAAATGTTTTAGAGAATATTCAGTTGCAAATAACAAAAAACCCCACACATAGTGGCTTAACCAAGTATAGAAAATATTTTTCTCACTTGTCAAGAATTCCAGAGGTAGACAGCTCATAGCTGCCATGAAATTGCCGTGAAAATCATTAACAGTTTCTACTGTTTTCCTGTTATCCTGTCCTCTGCTTGTGAATTTTGTCCTCATGTTTTTCAAACGGCTGCAGCATTCCAAGCATCATATTGACATTCTAAAAAGAAAAAAGAGAGGAGAGTAAAGGCCAAAAGTCTTCTCTTTTTAAGTCAATCCTTCTTATTTAAGAAGAAAATCAACCTCAGGAATCTACTTTCATCTCATTTGGCCCAAACAAATTGCATGTCCACCCCCCCCCCGCAAAAAAAGGACACTTTTTACTTTGCAGCCTCCATAGTAAAGGAAAACAAGGTGATTTAAATAGTTTTCACTAGACCAGGTACTTTCATGCCTGTAATCCTAGCACTCTGGGAGGCCAATGTGGGTGGGTTGCTTGAGCTCAGGAATTCAAGACCAGCCTGAACAAGACTGAGACCTCATCTCTATTTAAAAAAGAAAAAACAAAAGAAGGAAGGTAAAAGCTAGCTCTGTGTGGTGGCAGGTGCCTGTATTCCCAGCTACTTGGGAGGCTGAGACAGGAAACTAACTTGAACCCAGGAGTTTGAGGTTGCTGTGAGTTAGGATACCATGGCACATCCCACCCATAATTGGGTGGGACACAATTATAAGAGGGACTCTACCTAACAAACGCAATCAGTGTAACCTAATTCTTTGTACCCTCAATGAATCCCAAACAATAAAAAAGAAAAAAAAAAAAGACAGCAAGACAGGTTTATTTTTTTTCAAATGAGAATATTCATAATTCTTTATGGCATATTGTCAAATGGAAAAGCTGTATATATGATGTGTTCTCAATCACCATAAATATACATGAGAGACACAAAAGCCAGCAAGTTGCTTCTGAATGCCAGGAATAGTGATTGCTTTCATTTTCTTCCTCTGTGCTTTGGTATTTTCCAAATTGATCACAGTAAAAAATATTAAAAACAAATAGAGATGATGGATTAAGCTGCCTTCCACCTAAACGTGAAGGAAACAGAGGCTTTGAGCATCAGCTGAAAAGGCTTTGGCAATGGAAATTGCAAAAAAAAAAGAAAAAATGAAAAAGACAAAGAAGATGAAAAAGAAGAAAAGAGCATTCTACTGGGAAACAGGCCTTGTTTGTTAAAGACCAAAGAGGATACAGTAAAATGCTTTCCTCCTTCCCTGTTTCCTTTCTCCACGTGCAGTTTCTGCTGAGAAACATTAAACCCCCTTAAAATTCTTCAGGGCTCTTAAGTCCAAGGCTCAGAGCCCGATGGACAGAGGGTGTTTGTTCCTCTCTGGTGAGTCAGCAGTGAAACATGGTGCATCCTTTCAGCAAATATGGCCATGGGAAGGGGTCCTTTCGCAGCCTCCTTTCTTTCCAGGAGGCAGGGAGGTGGCCAGTCCCCACAGAAATCCAGCAGCCATTTCATTTCCTTCCTCTTACTGTGTTTTTCTTCTCAGTAAACGCTCTGCTTTCTCCCAGAAAGCAAGAGGCTCTCTAGTTCTCCTGAACTTGCACAACCAAGGCCGTAACCACAAAGACCTGGGAAGCAAACAATCTGGGGAAAGGATCCTCTTGGATCAATCTCCAAAAATAAATAAGTAAACAAACCCAGCCCTTTCCCCAGGCATTCATTCATTCGTTTCTTCATTTGTTTATTCATCCACCCACTCAGCAACAGCACTAGCCCTGGGGATACAGTGAGAACAACGTAAACAAAACTCAATGGCGGGACAGGGCAAGGGAAGATGGGAAGACAGAGAACAAGAAAAAGCTTTCAGAAAGTGAGAACATGATTTAAAGAATATATAGCAATGTAAGGTTCTAGAGGGTCACAAAGGAGCAGGCAGGTGATCAGGAAAGGGTTGTTGAGAAGGTGACACATGAACTGCTACTTGAAGGCAGAAGCTGTGAGAAGCTCAAGGAGGGTGCAGGTGCCAGCAGAGGGCTGGGGGGTGGGGCACACAGCTGAGCCCATAGAGGCAGCGGGGAGTGTAGGACCTCTGAGGCTGTAGGAGTCTGTAGATTCAAGAACGCGTGTCCGTGTGCAGGGTCCTGGGGAGCCAGAGCAAAGGGCCACCGCGGCATCCACCCCTCAGGTCCTGTTTTCCACTTTTGCTAGGTGGGAACAGAGAGAGTTGGATTAAAAAGTTTCTGTTTTCCCAAAGCTTCCAGCCCAGGCCAGGAGACAAAAATAACGCAATTATGGAGCATTTCAGGGCTACATTGTGCAGCTGTAATTGCACACAGAGGCATTTGGAGAAGGTGAGATCAGCATGAGCACTGCCAGGAATGTGAGAGACAAGCGGTGGCTGGACCTGGGAGGGGAAGTCTCATGTGCTGGGTGGGCCAGCCAGCTGCATGCTCACTCCCCCTTCCACTGGCAGCACCTCAAATCATTCCTAGCTCTTTTCCCCACTAACCTTGGCCTCAAAAACCTTCCTAAACTAGCATTCCAGGCAAATACCCCCCCATTAATCTGAATTAGCACAGGAGAAATCTCAGTCTAAGCCGGACACGTTGGGGCAGGGGAATTTGGGGAGAAGGTGCCTCCCAAGTGGTGAGGCCTAAAGATAGAGTGGGAGCTGCCTAAATGAAGAAGAAGGAAGGGGTGGGAAGGGGACAAATCACTCCGTGGGGCTGGGGTTAAAGAGCAGGAGAGAGCACCACAGAGGGCAGTGGGAGCCAGCAAGGGTTTGGCCTTCATGTGACAGGGATAGAGGGGCTTTGAAGAGCTTAGGCTGGAGGGACGGGTGACCCTAGCCTAGCTTCCTGCAATCCAGGGCACACAGAGGTTAGGAGGCTGCTGGGGAACCCGGGGGCCTAGACTAGGATGGTATCAGCTGGGGGGAATGGAGACAGATAGGAAGCTGGAGGGAGATTACTTAGAAGATAAACAGCTTAAAACTGGTGATTAACGGTGAGGAAGGAAGGAGTCCAGGATGAAGTCCAGCTCCTCACATGGGGCCCCAGGTCCCCAAACTTACCAGGGAGAAATGAAAATTGACAAGCCCAAGTGGGCTGTGCTCTCAGATCTGAGACACCTACAGGAAGCCAGAAGTGCCTGAAGCTTCACTAAACAGTGTCCTGACTCTGCTGAGGGCTGGACATACCTGACCCGCAGCCAGCCGTTTTTGACTTCTGCTTTAGTTCTCATGCTAATGGTCCCCAAAGCCCTTTAAGTCTAGGGCAGCTCTTTTTCACGGCGCTAAGCAATAGCCCAACCAGTCAGTGTTTTAATTTGCTGGTCTGCCATCTTCTCAGAAGAAAAATCTGAAAGCTCAGAGAGGTGGGGTATTAGTTAGAACTAAACATCACTGATTTGTTAGAACGCTTGCTGCTCAGGGTTGAATAAATCCTGCTGCTGCCCATGTTAGCATATTTAAACAACGGAACCAACAGAAGGAGAAAATGAGGGCACCCCCAGCCTCAGTGTGAGGCCAGCACCCCTGTAGTCAACCTGTCATTTTATAAACACACCTCTGGGTTTGGGTCAGAGCAATGGATGGCTGGGCAGGAACTATAAAGCATCTATACACACGCCAATTCTTCCTCGACTCTACTCCCACCCCTGATTAGTTTTGAATAACTCTAAGAAAGTAGAATGGGGCATGTTCAGATGCTGAAACAGACATGTCAACAGCACCTCACTCTGAGGAGGACCTGCGAGGTGAGGCAACATCTGGATGGCAACTTTTGTCCTGACTTCCCCAACAGATACCTGAGCACCTACTGTGTGCACCAGCTGCGGCTGCCAGCACTGCACATCTGTCATCTATATGAACTCCTGCTCAAGTGTCTAATCAGCCTTTTACATAGAAGCAGAAAAGAAGATTTCTCAAGGCTTATCTTTGCTGAACTTGAGGCCCTTTGGTGCTGACCTCTTTGTGTTTGACATGCAGATTCAGAGTGCCGATGGCACATTAGAATATATACTTTACATAGGATCACACACAGAACCTCCCTCCTCTGTGTACTAAACTCTGACATTTGGTTCTATTCCGTTTTATTTTCTAAATGCCAGTTGTGACCATTAACTGATTTCATAATCCACTAATGGGCCTTATCCCATGACATTGAAAGTACACTAGATTACTTATTTATTTGATTACACAAGTGTCCATCCAAGCCACTCCTCTATTAATCATTGGCACATTATTTTTGGTGTCCTTCTCCCTCTGTTTAGGCCAGTTCCCAGTGAAACACTCTTAAAACTAGGTCAGTTTTCTTTAGAAGTCAAAGCTTAGTTTGAACTTAGATATCCCATTTGTGTGGTTATTGGATTTTGAACTTGTCCTCCATGGACTGTCATGTCCATTCACAGTCACGTCTACCTTGACCCGCCTGCCTCCCTAGCACCAACAAAGTGCCTTACACCCAGCAGGTGCTCAGTCTGCTTAATGAATTCATTTTAACAAAATTAACTGTTTGTGGGCCACTACCTTCAGGCATGTTCTTATCTCCTGTCTTCTTCACAGCAACATGAGTGGATATAGGGAAGAGAGTCAACCACGTGGGTTCAAATCCTGCCTCCAAATCCTACAAGCTGTATGACCTTCAGAAAGTTTCTCGTTTGCAAAAGAAGAAGAATAATGGCTTCCTTCCTAGAATTATTGTGAGAGTTAAGTGATAAAATCTCAGTAAGCAAAAATGTAGGGGGAGGGGAATGAAGGAAGTTTATGGTAAAAAGCCCTGGAATAAAATATGGCGGAGGCAGATGTTATGAATTGAGTCCTCTCCCAAAAAGAAATACCAAAGACCTAACCTTCGGGACATCAAAATGTGACCTCATTAGGAAACTGAGTTATTAAAGAAATAATTAAGTGAAAATGAGGTCAGACTGGCGTGGGGTGAGTCACTAATGTCACATGACTGGGGTCCTTTAAGATGGCCACGTGAAGACGGAGACACAGGGGGAGAATGCCATGTGATGACAAGGACAGGGCTGGAGTGAAACAGCAGCGCCCAGGACCTCAAGCAAAGCCCCAGAAGCCGGGAGGAGGCAAAGTAGGGAGAAAGTTCTCTGATACCCAAATTCTAGGCTTCTGGCCTCCAGAACTGTCAGACAACAAAGTTCTGTTGCTTTGAGCCATAATAATAATAGTGATAATCTCAATGATTATTGATGATTCTTATTGTCATTCTACAGATAAGGGCAAAGCAGCGTCTTTCATGCCCACCTGAATTAACTACCATTCCTCCCTCAGGCCCAGGAGCTGGCTTCGGGGCTAGACATCTTACATAATTCGAAAGCACAGTATACCAATGAGACTCAATTCAACATTTTAATCATCTAAACCTTTCCCTCAGGTATTGGAACCTAGGAGTTAGCGATTATTGCATCATCCCAGTTTAAGGGCATACTAATAGCACATAAATGTTTCATTCTTGCCAACGCACCTTTTAAATCATCTCTTCTAAGTAATCTCTTTGCATTTATCAGGGCTACTAAATTGTCCTCCTTAAACTTATCACGTGGAACACTGAAAATCTTTTGGCTAAGGAGAAGCAGGCCTGAGAGAGGGGCTGCAGGAGAATTTGGCTCAGTGCAAGCTCCTGAAGTTGGGTAAGCATTCGTCATTCAGATCTTAGTTTTTTTTTGTTTTTTTGTTTTGTTTTGTTTTTGAGACAGAGTCTCATTCTGTTGTTCTTGGTAGAGGGCTATGGCATCACAGCTCACAGCAACCTCAAACTCTTAGGCTTAAAAGTGCAGTAGTTCTCAACCTTCCTCATGCTGCGACCTTTTAATACAGTTCCTGTGGGTCGTGACCCACAGGTTGAGAACCACTGGCTTACAGGATTCTCTTACTTCAGCCTCCCAAGTAGCTGGGACTACAGGCGCCCACCACAATGCTGGCTATTTTTTAGAGACGAAGTCTTGCTCTGGCTCAGGCTGGTCTTGAACCTGTGAGCTCAGGCAACCCACCCACCTTGGCTTTTGACAGTGACAACCATGTCTTTTAGGGTCTAGAGTTGAGCCCTGGTGGGTGTGTGACTGACCTGCAGTTGGGTCTCACCTAGATTAGCTAAGGAGTCTTCTTGGTGAGAGGATCCACAGGGGGCCTGGGTCCCTCCTACCACGTCAGGAAGACACTGCCCAGAGTGTGACTCAGATATACTCGAAGTTGGCTGCCAGCCCAGCCAGTCACCATCTGCAGGGACAGCTGGAGCTCCAACCTCCTAGGATTGCTGTGAGGAGAAACAGAGATGACGCCCTTACAGTGCAGGGCACATAGACGCGTTTTTAAAGGTTTGTTCCCTCCTCCTCCTGTTATTATTGCAATTATTATTAAGATTGAGGTTGAAATCTCAGAATACCTTTGACATCTTTGATTCCTAAATGCAATCCCGTTCCAGGTGCTGTTGGTTCCCTCTCTGCAGAGTCTCCACTGCCCCCTCCTTGCTGTCCCACCCATTTCATTACCTTTCACCTGAAGGAGGTCAGAGCCTCATTATTCCTCACAAGAGCCATCTCAGCTTCTTGCTGAGTAATACACCTTGAACCAGTGGTTCCTTAACTTTGCTACACATTAGAACAGTGGTTCTGAACCTTCCTAATGTCATAATCCTTTAATACGGTTCCCACCACTACATTAGAACCACCTAGGGAGTCTTTAAACTCCCCATGCCCAGGCACCACGGATGGACCAACTACAACAGAAGTGTGTGGGCATGGGACCCAGGCATCAGTGTGATCCAGGCCATTCCTACAAGCTGCAAGGCTGAGAAGCTCTGCTAGGTCCATGGCCCACATCACACCCAGCATGACCTTCCTGGAAGGCAGCTCTATCCACGCCTCTCCCCTTCTGAAAAAACCAGGTCTCTGTTCATCTTCAGATGGAAAGGACTCTTATAACTGGGAAAATCTACCCACCCTAATGATTCTAAACCCCATTTTATTTTTTTACTTAATTTTTATTAAATCATAACTGTATACACTTATGGGGTACAATGTGATAATTTGATATACAGTATGGAACGTTTAAATCAAACTAATTAACATAACCATCCCCTCACTTAGTTATTTTAGTGGTAAGACATTTATAATATACTCTGAGTTGTTTTGAAATGTACCCTTGTATTGTGCACATCAGGTGAGATCCCAATAAATACCCTCCCTCCACTCGTCCTCCCTCCTCCCCTCTGCTCTCCCTCCTCTCCTTTCTTTCTGAACTTTCTTTGTGTTTTATCATTCAGTATGAATGTGTAAGTGTATCTATATTGGTTTCATAATAGTACTGAGTACATTGGATACTTTTTTTCCATTCTTGAGATACTTTACTAAGAAGAATATGTTCCAGCTCCATCCAGGTAAACATAAAAGATGTAAAGTCTCCCTCTTTTATGGCTGCACAGTATTCCATGGTATACACATACCACAATTGGTTTATCCATTCATGGGTTGATGGGCATTTAGGCTGCTCCCATGACTTGGCTATTGTGAATTGGGCTGCTATAAACATTTTGGTGCAAATGTCTTTGTTGTGAAATGATTTTTGTTTATCTGGGTAGATAGCTAGTAATGATACTGTAGGATCAAACAGTAGCTCAACTTTTAGTTCCTTGAGAATTCTTCATACTTCTTTCCAAAAGGGCTATATTAGTTTGCAGTCCCACTTGCAGTGTAGAAGTGTTCCTTCTAAACCCCATTTTGAAAGTAAGTTCACCGATTCTCCATATGTCGGTAGTTTTGCAGAGGCTATGGGCTGAAAATAGCTACTATGAATTCAGCAACACTTTTTAAATGAATGAACAGTGTTTCTTAGTCATCACTACAGAATCTCTGTATGCGTGAGAAATGGGCACTGCTCCCCTGTGATTTGTCTGTACATAGATTCATTCCTTTATAAGAATCCCACAGGCCCATAGTAACCACTGATTAAGGTCAGGGTGCAAACCTTCTTGAGCAGTAAGCTGAGACCATAGAATGGTTAGCTGGAAGTGGAACAGAGATTTGAGGCTCTGTCTTCTGATGCCAGTTCAGTGCCCTTTCACTGCAAAAGAAACTCAAGTCTCTTAGTGTCTGTCCCAACCCACCTTCCAACATGCACCATAATCAAAGGGAGCCCTCACACCATAACCCTGTGATAGTGAGAATGATGGCCCCCAAAGATGTCCATACCCTAATTCACAGGACATGTGAAAATGTGACTTTATACAGCAAAAGGCGATTTGCAGACATGACCAAATACGGGCCTTAGGGAGGGTGTCCTGAATTATCCAGGTGGGCCGAATGTAATCAGAAGAGTCCTCACAGGGAAATAGCAGAGTCAATGGAGTGTACGTGTCAAGGAAAGCAGAGGTCAGAGTGATGAAGCCTCTGAGCCAAGGAGCTCAAGCAGCCCCTGTAGCCTGGCAGAGACGAGGGAGGCACGAGGCAAGGGCCTCCAGGAAGAATGCAGCCCTGGCGATTCCATGATGTTAGCCCAGCAAGACTGATTTTTGATCTGTGACCTCCAGAGTGAAAACCAAGAAATTTCTGTTGCTTTAGACCACTGAGTGTGTGGTAACTTGTTGATCACATCACAACAAGAGGAAATGCCCCTCAGTTCCCACTTCTGTGCTTACAGATGCACTCTGCCTCTTCCCAGGGGCCCTTCACATCCCCACTGCAAAAATGCTATCCCCTCCCCCAGTGGAGATGAAAAACTTACAAAGAAAAAAATACTCACACAACGACAACCCATACTTTAACCTTATAAAAGCAAACTATACAACCTAATCATATGCACCGCATATCAATTTGAAATAAAAAAGAATTCTCAGATGCCAATATATGTATAAAAGTATTAAACATCACTCATAATCCAAGAAATGCCAATCAAATCCAAATGGGGATGTAGCAATTATTAATACTGAGGTCTCCAAAACCAGAGCTACATTTCAGTTCCAGCTCTGCCATGTTGACGGCCACATGATTTGGGAGGGGTTCCTTAACCTCTCTTGGGTCCTTGGTAAGGTCCCTTTAGATTTGTTGATGTGGCTGGGCTCTGGTTCCCCAGTTATCCATCAAACTCCAATCCAGGTGTTGCTATGAAGGTATTTTGCAGATGTGATTAGAGTTCATAATCAGTTGATGTAAAGTAAGAGAAATTATTCTACATAACCTGGGTAGACTTGATTTGATCAATCAAAAGGCCATAAGAGCAGAACTGAGGCTTCCAAGATGAGGAAGAAATTCCACCTGCGGACGGCATCTTCATCCTATGCCTGCAAGTTCTAGCACCCTCCACTGCCCTACATACTTTGAACTTACCTAGCCAACCACCCCAATTGTATGCAGCCAATTCCTTACAATAAATCTCTTCATATATATCTTGTACTTGCCCTGCTTCTCTGGTTGAGCTGCAACTGGTACAAGTTGTAAAATGGAGATAATAGTCCTAACAGGACAGTTGTGAGGATTCAATGAGAAAAGGGTTTGGCACACAATTAATTGCTCAATGAGTATTTGGCCTTGTTCTATTTTGCTTGTAATAAGCTTGGTAGATTGCCACAAACAAGGTCTTTCCCTCTTTCTATTCATACTTCCCTACTATGTGAAGGGCAAAGAGTCTGCTCCCAGGCCAAGACCATGAGACTCGCTCCAGCCAAAAGAATGTTAACAGATGTTAAAAGTCTTCTTGTGTTAGGTTTGTCCTACCTTGATGTGCTCAGAACCACTTCCCAGCCCCATAAAGAAGCCCTAGCTAGCTTGCCGGACAACAAGAGGCACTCTATCCCGTCACATACTTCCCTTCCCTTGCTTCCAGGAAGCAGCAAACCCCCAAGAGCCTGTGAGCTGATAGCAACTCATCAAGATGCATGAATGCCCAAATTTCAGACCCACAGATCATGAGCTAATGACAACAAAAGGTTACTTTTATAACTCACTATTTTAGGGGTGATCTGTTACGCAGAAAAACTAATGATAACAGGAATAAAAGGGAGATTCTTTTTAAACCCTTCAAGTTGCAAATTTCTTTTTAAGTAACAATGGCCATTATTCGTATGGGTAGAGTGAAACAAGTGTTCTCCTAGATTTCTTTTGGGCATATAAATTGTTATGACTTTTTGAAAGGCAGATGATCATTAGGCATGATATTTTCAAGAAATTGTAATCTTTGATCCAGTAATTCCCAGCTCAATAATCGTCTGTAAAGAAATAACTAGAAATACGTGCAAAGATTTATGAATAAGGATATTCAACGAGGTGACCATTTTGAATGTTAATGTGGATCCAAGTTTTATTAGTGTGTGTGATTGTATATAGAAGAAAAAGACAATATAACCAAAATATTATAAGTGATTACGTCTGGGCGTAGGATTCCTGGTGATTATTTTATATTTGTATTTTTAGGTATCTTATAATATTTTTAGTGAATATATATTTATCATCAGAACAACAAAAAGATGTCAGAAATCCTAGCCATTCTTGACACCCCATCTCAAATGCCAAATCAGCAAAGCCTGTCAGTACGCCCTACCCAGAATGAAAAGGGACTTCTCCCGGGGACTTGCTCTGTTCCTTGGTGCTTATCTGGCTCTGTCGTACACATTGCAAGTTATTTCTTTACCTTTCTTATCACTTCATTTTCGTGCTGAGTGCTTCAGAGCTGTGTTTTTTGGCCTTGAATATAGAAAACACACGATGCATATTTGTTATGTAAAGCTGCATTGAATGACTTGTCACATTATCTTGAAATTAACCCAGCACCAAACCACTCCTCTACCTCACTTCCAGCACCTGGTACCATGCTGACCTCCTGTCCTGCGACTTCTCCCCAGTGCACAGTCCAGTCACACTGGCCTCCTTGCTACTCTGCCATCTCCCCAGGCAGGCTCCTGTCTCTAGAACTTTCTGCTTCTTGTTCTCTCTCCCTGAAGCAACTCCTCCCCAGTGGCCAGTGTGGCTCACTAATTCATCCGCCTTCAAGTCTTTTCTCAAATGTCCCCTTCTTTTCCTGCAAGTCAATAGCCAAACACCAAATAATCCAATTTACAAATGGGCAAATGACTTAAATAGACATTTCTCCAAAGACAACAGTCAAAGGCTCAATGGGCATATGAAAAGATGTTCGGGCTCGGCGCCTGTGGCTCAAGTGGCTAAGGCGCCAGCCACATACACCTAAGGTGGTGGGTTCGAATCCCCAGCCCAGGCCCACCAAACAACAATGACGGCTGCAACCAAAAAA